GCTAGTTGTAAGAGTTTGTTAGTTTGGTTAGTGTGGCTCTTTAGTTAGCTTTTGAGTGCACACTAACTTAGTGTAGTGTCATAGCTATTGTGTGGATAGAAGCTATATAAACTAGAATTGTGGTAGGTGGCTTGCATTTTTAATAGGCTAGCGCAACACTTGCTTCGCCTCATAATTGTCTAACCGGTGTGTTAAATGTTGTTGTAGAAATTTTTAATAGGCTATTCACCCCCCTCTAGCCATTAGGACCTTTCAACGTGTCTCCTGCACCGCGTGCAGCTCGCTGACGCCTGCGCGACTCCAGAAAGGGACACGTCACATCATCGACGACAATGGCACCCCTCGATTCCCACGCATGAAAAGCCAGCCCAGAGCCATGGCCCAGCCAGGGGTCACGTGTGACACGGCGGTCGATCTATTTCTACAGATCACATGCATCAGCTAACCACGCGAGCAAACCGCTGGTGCAAGCGAAAGGTGTCGCACGCGATGCGTTGTGAGACGGTGTCGCATAGAATTTTTTTTGCCAGTATCATCGTGCCGTTCCTCCCTCCCTCCCTCCCTCCGCTCATAGCACAGCAGGCTTGCCGATCCAATCAATCAAATGCAAACATGATGAATCTGACCACACTGCATCATGCATTGGTGATGTGTCAGTGTGAAGCAGGAGGAGCAGTACACGTTTGGAATGCAAACGAGAGCAGGACTGCCCGCTAGCCTGCTGCCTACGAACACCTAGAGGGCGGGCCTAATCAGCGAACCTGCGATGTGTTCGACTGTTAGGTAATGCTAAAAATGCTTGCGTTAGTTCTGGTTCCACTTCACGGGCTGGCTACATTCCCCTTGAGTTACTTCTGGTAACACGGAAAGCCGCCTGCCCGCCGCGCCTTCGCGCCTGCCCGCCAATCGCCATGCACTGCGGCGCGCCACTCCCGCCGCGTTCGCACGCGCCCTCTCCACCAATCGTCGAAAAGAAGGTACCTGGGGTCAAACTTGTCTGCACCGTCGATCCACTGAAAGAAAAATCACTTTTCATAGGCCTACACAACAAAATTCCAACAAAATATTAGTAATCTAGTAATACAAATGAAGAAATAAAACATACGGAAACAATTACTTACATTAAAACGACTGCATATGTAGAAGCAACGAGCCGCTGTGTCCAGATGTCTCTATTGAAACACGTCGTCCGGACGACCACAGTCACAGTTAGGGACAAGGAGGTTAGGAGGGACGGGGGCATCTTTGCTAGACTCGTTGGGGTATAATTCTCTAGGACGATCCTGTTTTCGCCACAACTGCTCCCGAAACATGTCTTCCATGTAATAAAACGGTTCAAATTAAACATCAATCAAAACAACACAAATTAATGTAAAATATAATCATTTGCATTGCAACTCAAATAATATACCCAACACTTATAGCAACAAAAATATACATGATAAACATACTTCTAACTAAATAATTAACCTTATCATCGACAAAATCAAACTAATATCTTTCTCCAAACCATAGCCCATAGTTCCCAAACATAATTTTTCTCCTAACCTTAACTCCCATTCATAATATTTCAATCCACCATTCAAACGAAAATAAAAAGTGCGCCATTACCATGAACGAGGCCGAGGAGGGAGGGAGGCGGCTAGAGAATGGAAGGGAAGGGAGGGAGAGAGGCGGCAACAGAGAGTCGGGCGCCGACAGCACTTGAGAGTCACGGGCAGGCAGGCGGCCAGGCGGGCGCGAAGGCGCGACGGTGAGGCGGCCAGGCGCAGCAGGCAGGCGGAAAGGGAAATGTAGCCAGCCCGTGAAGTGGAACCAGAACTAACGCAAGTGTTTTCAGCATTACCCAACAGTCGAACACATCGCAGGTTTGCTGATTAGGCCCGCCCTCTAGGTGTTCGTAGGCAGCAGGCTAGCGGGCAGTCCTGCTCTCGTTTGCAGTCCAATCGTGTCCTGCTCCTCCTGCTTCACACTCACCCATCACCAATGCATGATGCAGTGTGGTCAGATTCATCATCTCTGCATTTGATTGATTGGATCGGCAAGCCTGCTGTGCTATGACCGGAGGGAGAGAGGGAGGGAGGAACGGCACGACGATACTGGCAAAAAAAATCTATGCGACACCGTCTCACAACGCATCGCGTGCGACACCCTTCGCTTGCACCAGCAGTTTGCTCGCATGGTTAGCTGATCCGTGTGATATGTAGAAATAGATCGACCGCCGTGTCACACGTGACCCCCGACTGGGCCGTGATTCCGGGCCGGCTTTTCGTGCGCAGGAATCGAGGGGTGCCATTGTCGTCGGTGATGTGACGTGTCCCTTTCTGAAGTCGCGCAGGCATCAACGAGCCGCACGTGGTGCAGAGGAGACACGTGCCTACGATGCCCAGGCTCAGCCCACACGCTACTACTCACCCTCTCCTGTCAAGCTGATGGCGTTGGACCCGATGCTCTCTGAGGCGGCACTGTGCACACCGCGGAATGGTGTCAGCTCCTGCAGTAGGCGTGCCCACTCCATCGACCTTTGCCCGCGCGGTGCCCTGTAGTCTCACTGTCATCATCAGGCGTCGTGGGCTCTGCCGCACCACCGATCAGGCGCGGCAGACCCTGCCATGTCACCGGTCAGCGCCTCGGTCATCGCCACGTCATCCCTCTCGCCGTGCCATCATGCATGGCGTGGCACAAGCGTTTCGCCGCGTCAGGAAAATAGGCGCGGCCAAAAGTGTTAGTTTTGAAAAAAAAAAAACAGTGTTAGATTTAAAATTAGTTTAAAAAAGTGTTAAAAATAAAAAAAAATCAACTCAGACACGTTTCAAAGCTTGAGCACAAAAATATAGTCCAGCTTGTCGGATATGGATACGCAGCAGATTATAAGGATTATGTGTTTTTGGTGGAAGAGCACATGCCGTATGGAAGCATGGACAACATTATCTATGGCATGTGTCCACTGACATACTAGATCGATTACTTTTTCCCCTAAGATAAATTCTGTATCCCGAACCAATAGTTATTTATTTCCACGTGATGCATTTTTCAGGGTCTCAATTTGATTGGTCCTCTCGCCTCCAGCTAATTCAGGGTATAGCACATGGTCTACATTACCTACATGAGCAACGATTTGTCCATTTGGATTTAAAGCCAAGTAACGTCCTGGTGGATTCTGATATAAATCCAAAGATAACTGATTTTGGTAGAGAGAAAATGCTTGTCCAAGGTGATGATGTGGTATCTCATGACACCGAGTACTTATTGGCAGGCACAATGTAAGCCTTTCATTCCGTAATATTTGAGTAAATTGAAGGAGTGTTCCAGAACACAACAAAATACCATTAAAATGCGATATGCTAATAGAATGACAATACATGCAAACCTTTTTTTTTCTTTTCATTTCCCCTTAGATAACTAAATTCATTTTATATATCATATTACAGGGCATATATGCCTCCTGAATATATCATTGGAGGCATTGTGTCGACGACAATGTATGATGTCTAGTTTTGGTGTCATCCTTCTTGAGACCATAAGCGGTATGTGCAGATCCGAACGTCACCAAGCTTCAATTGAATGGGTAAGTAATTAAAACATGCGCACATGCTATATATAAGCATGTTCCTACTGTACAAACTATAAGTAGTACATACTCGTACTAATTTCTTACTTGCCTCTGTAATTATGTAAAACCCCCTTGTGGTCTCAGCGGCAATGTGGACCACTGGATCATACGAGTTAGTGAGATGATAATGACGGTTAAAAAAGAGATTGTAAGGAAAACTACAATGGGCAAAAACATATCTAATATATGCCCCAGCTACAAACCTTATCGTCATTCTGCCATGCTTTGTTTCAGGCTTGGGTAGCACGGGAGGTTGGGCGGATGGAGGAGTTACTTGATCCATCACTGTGTTCCGAGTCACAGCTAAAGGGGGTAAGAAGATGCATGGAGATAGGGCTTTTGTGCACCCAATCTGATCGTGCAGACCGGCCCCCTATGCTGGATGTTGTCGAGATGTTGGACAACAAGAAAGAGCTGCCAACCCCAAAGCAACCAAAATACACCAAAGTAAGTGGCTGATGATCACATATATAGAATTTCGTTTATCCCCCCATCTTCTTATTTATTTACAATGGACGTACATATATATATATATATATTTATTTACTCGCTTGTACACTCACTGCAGGTTCCAAGAAACTCAAAGTCCATGGTACATGAATAATAATAGCCAGAGGAGAATGATGTATGAGTACTCGGGAATCTTGATTTGTGTTATCTCTACTGCAATAAATATTGTCGAGACATGTTTCGTCTATATTTGTTCTTCCCAGCTTGTAAAGGGAAGTTAAAACTTTCTCAAACTATAGACATTTGTATCCCCCATACTGTTTTTTTTAAAAAATAATTAACTTTGTATTGTGTTACAATGCATACTGATGAAGTCCAATTATGTGTAAACCACAGGTATATATGCTTGTAAAATCATATTCATGGAGAATTTTGCTTTACACAATTTTTAGTTCTCTGTATGTATGCATGCACCCAACGATCAAGCAGGGACTCAAACTTGTGGACAGGAATCGCTGCTTTTGGTTCACCACGGGATTTTCTAACTGTTCGCTTACTCGTAAACGATCGTAAATTTTTAGCTGGGAATAGTGTTTTTCTCTCATACCAAATCAACCAGCAGTAAATAATCCACAATACGATACGGCCTCCCGAACAGGCTGTTTGCCGATTGGACGGGAATTCCCATGGTCGTCCACAGTGCGACCTGTACAGTGGACACCTGGTACAGTGGTGCATGCTGATGCTGTTTGCTGTTGCAGAGGAGCTAGGCCTCCGAGACGGACACGTGATGCGGCGGGCGACGACCGGAATTCAGCTCGGCAGCGCTCGGGCAAGCCACAGCCACGGCGGGCGGCGGAGACGGCGTCCTTTTCCTTGCGAGTTGCGACCCCAAGCCCAAGGGTGGACGCACGGTTTCACTCAAACACCGTTGACCCTACTCGGTGCCTATCTGCCGTCCGATCGAGCGCGTGCGGCCTAGATCGTCGCGTCGCAGGAGAGAAAGTTCTCTTCCTCTTGTGGCTTTCGCCGATGCACGGACTTCACTCTTGAGCCGCTCCATGGCCGCGGGGTTCCTGACCAGCTCCGACATGGCCCACTCCAGCGTGATGAAGGACGTCTCGGTGCCGGCCACGAACATGTCCGCCAGCAGCGACTTGATGGCGTCCCTGGTGAGCTCGAACCCGTCGTCCTGCTTCTCCTCCGCCTGCAGCGCCAGCAGCACGTCCACGAAATCATGGGGAAATATTTGCTAACATCGACCTCCATTATGACATACCATGCATTGTATAAAATTTAAGATTTAAAATGTTGATAGCAGTTTTTCCTGGGGTATTTTCTAATTAAGGGAAAAGTTATGCTCCAAGGATCTTATTGCTTTTATTCTTAATTTTTGTCTGCAAGGAAACTGAAGGCGGGATACACACAGTGCATTCGCAATATGACAGTAGGTATATTATACCAATGGTTTCCCTTTTTCATGTCACATTCTTGATTCAAGATCCCCTTGTTTATGGGGATTTAAACCTGCCTCATGTTACCTCCATTTCATCACAGGTTTACACTGAACTATGCATAAATATCTTAGCTAGTTTACTCCACAAAATAAAATTTGTAGAGCAACATACCTCTGCTCAAACTATGAATATGCTAAGGTTTGTATGTGAAATTTATGCACTGTCTATGCAGTATTTGGTATGGTGTACAATTCTGGTGGAGATAATTAAATCAGTCGAACTCAAGCTATTACATAGTAAACATGTGTGAGACTAGTTATGTGCTACATCAATGAACAAAACTTCCGCCTCATCCACCCTGCCCAGTGCCCATAAATGGAAAATATTGCCTCTGATTCTCTGAATAGCAAGTCTTAATTGTTCACGAAAAATAGCCACGTCTTGATGTCATTTATTCATATAACCTATCATTTCTGTATATTTCGTACTATATCAGCCTCAGAACTAAGGACCTCAAAATGTTTGAAGATTCAGGTGCTCAACTGCTCCTAAAATCTAGGGGACAGCAAAATCTAGGTATGCCCATGCACATACCCAACAATTTCTTGTTTGTTTCTAACTGTGGCACTGTGCTATATATTTGCAGTGCAGTGTGCGGTGGATGCCCTCGTGGCCGTCCTCGTGGACCGTGGCCAGGATCTCCTGGAGAAGCGGCGATGCCGAGGGGATGTAGAGGCGGCCCGCGAGGGCGACCATGCCGTCGATGATGGCCCACGGCGCCGCGCGGGTGCCCGCTCGGAGCTCGTCGTGGATGGCGACCAGCGCGGGGTCCGTGGCCTGGGCGTGTCGAAGGCGCTTGATGAAGTCGAACCGGGGCGCCGAGATGGCCAGCAGCTCGCCGTCCTCGATGTCGCGGCGGGAGAGTGCGTCGGCGACCGTGTTCGTGGCGCCGGAGCGGTACTCCACTGAGAAGTCGAAGCCCAAGAGCTTGCCGACCCAGTGGTGCTGCGGGATCGTGGCGAGGCGCTGGTCGAGGAGGTACTTCAAGCTGTAGTGATCCGTCTTGACGAGGAAGCGGCGCCCCCAGAGGTAGGGCCTCAAGTGCCGGACGGCCTGAACCAGGCCAATAAGCTCGCGTTCATACGCGGCTAGGGCGCGGTGGCGAGGCGCCACTGGCCGGCTGAAGTAGGCCAGCGGGTGTCCCTCCTGGACCAGAACGGCGCCGAAGCCCGCCGTCGACGCGTCGCACTCGACAATGAACATCTTGGCGAAGTCGGGCATGGCTAGAACGGGGGCGGACGTGACCGCCGCCTTGAGCGCCGAGAACGCTGTGGCCGCGGCGTCGTCCCAAGCGAATCCATCCTTCTTGAGGAGCGCCGTGAGGGCCGCGGCCACCGTGCCGTAGTTATGCACGAACTTGCGGTAGTATCCCACGAGTCCGAGGAACCCGCGAACAGCACGGGCGGAGCGCGGTGTCGGCCAGTCATGGATGGCCTGCACCTTGGCCGGATCCATGGCGACGCCCGCCGCAGAGATGACGTGGCCGAGGTACGCGACGGCGGTGGCACCGAAGGAGCATTTGGTGCGCTTGACGAAGAGCTGGTGGCGGCGAAGCTCGTCGAGGACCGCACGCAGGTGCCGCAGGTGATCTGCCCATGTGCTGCTGTAAACCAAGATATCATCAAAAAATACCAGGACAAAGCGGCGGAGAAACGGCCGGAGGACGTCATTCATCAGGGCTTGGAAGGTGGCCGGCGCGTTGCACAAGCCGAACGCCATGACCAGAAACTCGTACAAGCCTTCATGTGTGCGAAAGGCCGTCTTGTGGATGTCCTCGGGCCGCATGCGGACCTGGTGGTACCCCGACCTCAGGTCGAGCTTGGTGAAGAACTTGGCGCCGTTGAGCTCATCCAGCAGCTCGTCGACCACCGGGATCGGGAAAGCGTCCTTGACGGTCATGGCGTTCAGGGCCCGGTAGTCGACGCAGAATCGCCATGAACCGTCTGGCTTCTTCACAAGGAGGACGGGCGACGAGAACGGCGAGTCGCTGCGGCGGACGATCCCCTGTTCCATCATGGCCGCGCACTGCCGCTCCAGCTCGTCCTTATGGGCAGCCGGGTACCGATAGGGACGTACGGCAACCGGCTGCGCCTCGGGCTTCAGCAAGATGCGGTGGTCGTGGGCGCGCTTGGGTGGAAGACCGGCTGGAGTGGCGAACACGTCCGCGAACGAGTCGAGGAGGGCCTCCAGGAGAGGCTCGCCGGCCGCCAGGGTGCGCACAGCCGGGCCAGCCGCAGTGGCCACGCCAGTCCAGGAGACAGTGCAGCCCCCGCGCTGGAAGGACATGCGCCGGTTGGCCAGGTCCCAGACGATGGGTCCCAGCGCACCGAGCCACTTGGTGCCCAGGACGATGTCGTACCCAGCCAGGGGCATGACGAAGAGTTCCGCCGGGAAGCTGGCGCCGGCGATGAGCAGGGGCGCGTCGCGGATGACGCCGACGCAGGCAATCTTCTCGCCATTGGCCACCATGGCCGTGAGACGGGGACGGTGGCGGAGAGGCAGGCCGGAGCGCCGCGCGGCCTCCTCGGAGATGAAATTGTGGGTGCTGCCCGAGTCAAGGAGCGCGACGAGCGAGGCGGCCCCCAGCTGCACGGCAAGTTGCATGGTGTCTGCCACGGACACGCCCGCCACGGCCTGCAGCGAGAAGCAGGGAGCCTCCTTGTCCCCTGCGGCAGCCGTGTCGTCGGAGTCCTCAATCTCCACACCGTCGACGAAGATCCGCTTGCAAAACCTGTTATGGCCACGAGAATATTTTTCGTCACAGTTAAAACATAGGCCAAGGCGGCGACGTTCCGCCTGCTCCGCCGTGGAGAGACGCCGCTGGTTGCCCTCGCGACGACCCTGTTCGGCACCCGCCGGGGGCGCGGGCAGGGCGAGCGGCTGTGGCGGCGCAGGCAGGGCCGGACGAGGCGGCGGTGGCGGCAGCAGACCACGGGCGCCTGGCCGGACCGGGGCCGGAGGGGACTTGTCGATCTCCATGAGCTCCACCTGACGCGCCAGACTCATCGCGGCGGAGAGCGACTCGGGATGATGGATGCGCACCGCGTGACTCAGGGGCGGGAGGAGACCACCGGTGAAGAGTTGGACCCGTTGGGACTCATCAAGCCGCCCGGCGCGGGGAAGGAGGGCTTGGAAGCGATTGGCGTATTCGTCGACGGTCCCGGTACGGCGGCACTCGGAGAGCTCGAACATCGGGGCGGAGCGGAGGGGCGGCCCGAAGCGTTCGTTGAGGAGGTCCTTGAACCGACCCTAGGATGGTGCGCCGTCGTCCTCTTCGAGCTGGTTGTACCATAGCTATGCGACATCGTCCAGATGGTAAGATGCCATCCGAACGCGTTCCTCCCCCATGGTGCGATGGTGGCGGAAATACGACTCGCATTTGTTGATGAAGAGCATTGGATCGACAGTGCCATCAAAGCGGGGAAAATCCCACTTTTTGTGCTTGAAGAACGGATCCTGATCGCGCTGCCCGTCCGGGCGACGGCCGCCGTCGTTGTCCGATGACGACGAGGACTTGTCCTTCATGGCCGCCATGTCGGACTTCAGGGAGGACACCTCGGCGCTGAGGGTCTTCAGTGCAGCGAGCAAGTCGGCAATGGTGGGTTCGGCCATGGCTGCGGTGGAGCTTTGCGGTGATGGCGGCGGCGGCGGGTGTGGGACTGCGGGGGACGAGTGATCGGAGCGCGTGGGCGAGGATCGACGAGACCGTGATACCAGGTTGTCAAGGGCCTCGTACCCCTGACTGGCCGGACCTCGGCTACGTAGCTCGTAGCCGCCGTCCGTCACGCCGGCGAGGTTATGCCCCTCTGCCGTCGGCTTGTAGAGAAATAGGGAGCTTAGGGATAACTTTCTGCTTAATCTCAATTGGTTCCAGCGTACAGAATATATGGCCCTTCGCCTAACAGATGGAGAAGGCTCTCCTTAATTCTAGGATTAGCCTAACAAGGAAACAACTAACTATCTTTCCTCCTAGCCACTCGCCTGCCCCTCCTGGGTCCTGACCGCGCGCTCGGCGTCCCTGCGGACGTCGCGGGCCCTCCTGCGCCGGGCGTATGTGCGCCCGCACATGACACCTCCATGTTGGCATGATGAACTAATGAGCCTATCTTCATCTTTTAGTGGCTATGCAGCTCCTGAATATCTTGCTACCGGAGAGATCTCACAGAAAGCAGATGTGTACAGCTTCGGCATTATATTTCTTGAATTAATAAGTGGAAAGCTGTTCCGGGCTTATAGACAGCAATCAAACAGCAAATCTCCAGGACTGCTACTTCCTGATTTTGTATGTATTTTTGTTAAAAAAGTGCATGCCATGAAATTTGTTACCACGTTAGCATCTTTGTTCACAACATGGTTATTGTCTTATTGATAGTGTAAAATTGTTCCAGCTAGATGGTTTTCTGAGTTGCCTTGAACTTCCTGGTCACTTCGTTTCGGATACCATTTTGGTTTATATTTGCAGAACTGTGATTGAGCTGTATGTGCTTCAAGAGTTGCTACTAAAGACTTTAACATATACCAATTTGTGAATTATTTCAGGCACGCACATATCAAAAGAGGCTGCACAAGCTTATTGATCCATTACTATATGTTACAAAGCATGTCCGAGCTCAGATCACACAATGTGTCAAGCTGGCGCTGTTGTGCACTAGCAATTTTGAAAATCGACCTCATATGTCTGAAGTTGTTACCATGCTTTGCGAAATCAAGGGGACGCAGCAATAGAGAAGGGTCGTGGAGTCACATTATCAGATATAGTTCTGGTGGAACCATATGTAAAAATGACCATGCAAACTGTGAACTAATGTTTCCATGTGCAGTTGATATTTTCCCCATAGTCTTTTATGAAGATTGATAGTATGTGAATTGTGACAATATAGTATCATAAAAAGCGACATATACAAAATTGTAACAAATAGAATCTCTTTTTCGCATTGGTACATGCAGTGATGAAGAGGGAGATTGAGCCTGGCAACTGGCAAGTTGGTTAAAGGCTCAAAGCACACAGAGGTGGTCCGAGGTCCCTTCCATGCCGTCTGTTTCCAGCAGAGCTTAATATGCACATAGCTGATCTGCGCTTGGACATCTTGTGTACAAATGTTGGAGAGAAGAGGAGATAGGAAGCTTTCTTTCACATTGCAATAAATAAATAAATAAACACCTACCGAAGCTGTTTATTGCTTGCGTGATTGCGTCCAAACTCAGCTCATGGAGGATGATCGCTGATCCCTGCTGGGTGATCGCTGCTTTTGGTTCACCACGGGATTGATGATTGGACGGGAATTCTCATGGTCGTCCACAGTGCGACCTGGACAGTGGACACCTGGTACGGTGGTGCATGCTGATGCTGTTTGCTGTTGCAGAGGAGCTAGGCCTCCGAGACGGACACGTGATTCGGCGGGCGACGACCGGAATTCAGCTCGGCAGCGCTCGGGCAAGCCACAGCCACGGCGGGCGGCGGAGACGGCGTCCTTTTCCTTGCGAGTTGCGACCCCAAGCCCAAGGGTGGACGCACGGTTTCACTCAAACACCGTTGACCCTACTCGGTGCCTATCTGCCGTCCGATCGAGCGCGTGCGGCCTAGATCGTCGCGTCGCAGGAGAGAAAGTTCTCTTCCTCTTGTGGCTTTCGCCGATGCACGGACTTCACTCTTGAGCCGCTCCATGGCCGCGGGGTTCCTGACCAGCTCCGACATGGCCCACTCCAGCGTGATGAAGGACGTCTCGGTGCCGGCCACGAACATGTCCGCCAGCAGCGACTTGATGGCGTCCCTGGTGAGCTCGAACCCGTCGTCCTGCTTCTCCTCCGCCTGCAGCGCCAGCAGCACGTCCACGAAATCATCCTCCTCGCCGTCGCCGCCGTCACCACGGCGGCGCCGCGCCTCGTGCTCCTGGACCACCTTCTCCAGCACCTCGTCCAACCGCTTGAAGTTCCTCCACGCCCTCGCGCCGGCGCCGGACAGCGCGTCCGCCCACGCCAGCGACGAGAAGTAGTCCCCGACGCAGAACCCGCCCAGCAGCGCCGTGTTCTCCTCGATCAGCGCCCGGAACAGCTCGCTCCTCCGGCCTTCCTCCTCCCGGGACAGCCTCCCGGTCCCGGACACCGCCCGGCAGATCACGCCGTTCGCGAAGCCGTACAGCGCCTTGCTAACGTCCACCACGCCCGCTTCGGGCGAGGAGGACGCGCGCTCCCTGATGGCCCGCACCAGCGCGGCGACCTCCCGCTCCCGCACGCCGTCGAAGCTGTGCGACCGCACGGCGCTGAGCACGTGCCGCCAGTGCTCGCCGTGGGGCGCGAACACAAGGTCCTGGAACCCGTACGTCAGGATCTCGGCCGTGCGGAAGTAAGGCCGCGTGGCGAAGGCGCCGTCGTGCTCGCGCATGAGCGCCGCGGCGGCGGCCGGGGAGGAGGCCACCAGCGCGGGTACCTGGCCCAGGCGGAGCCGCATCAGTTCGAGCGCTCCGTGCGTTGCGGCGAGCGCGCGCAGGGCGCGGTGGGGGAGAGCACCCACCTGGTGCAGGTTCCCGATCAGAGGCAAGCCCCGGGGAGCTGGAGGGAGGCGAGGTGCGTTCCGGCCGGCGGCCCAGACCTTGGTGAGGTAGAAGAAACCGAGAAAAGGGAGGAGAAGCAGGGAAGAGAGCTCCATGGTATCGATCGGCTTGTTGCAAGAACGCTTCACCCTGGCACTCGGCTCTGTACTAGCTGAACTGTGGAAGATTAGCGATCTACTAGAACAGATCCTTATACAACATTGTTTTTTTCTTAAAAAAAATCGATAGAATATTTTCATTTTAAAAAACAATATTGACTTCTTTTTTCTATCTTTGAATATTAATTTATTGGGTATTTATCGAGGTGCATGTGCATCATTAAAAAAAACTTATACTGCTATTGGACCAAAGAGGTTGAATGAAGACTTGGCTGACCAATCTGATGGCTCCAGTCTCCAACTGAATATGAAAGTGAGACATCGCTATCGTTTTGGATGGTGGTGATCTTGCGTTTTGGACAACTCTACTTCTATTTTATATGGAAAAACAGCCTGAAACCTGAATGTTGTAGCTATAGGTGACCGGCGAAGGAAGATAAAAGGCATTGTCTTCGTTTTACATTTATACTGAAATAAAAACGCAAATGAACAAAAATGGGTAAGTTTGACTATACGGCACCTGACACCACAACTGACTAATTCGACAATATGCCGAATTTGGCACCTGACGCCACAACTGACTAATTCGACAATATGCCGAACTTTGCTCTTGGACACAAATTCACATGGCAGTTAAGCGATGGATTCACATATGTGCATCCAACTATACGGGTCATTTAATGGCAAAGCAGTGAAGGCTGAAACAGCCACATATTGTCAAGTGTTCAGACAAAACAGCCACATTTTATGGTTAATGGCATGATGTGCTTGTTCAATTCTTCCTGTATTCTGAGAACCGTGTTGAATGAATACAGCAATTCAAGATAAAAACCTATATGGCTCACCACGATATACATATAACCCAAAACTTGGATTCTTGGTCATCCTGGTGATCTTACCCGGATAAGTATAACTGATATAATCGTCAAAATTCTGTACCAATGCCTCAGAAATTACAAGGGGGGGAGCCGAGCTGTTACCTTTTGAATCCTACAGTTAAAACCTACGCTGTGTATCCAACTGAGTGAATGGAGGGTTATTTTTCCCTTCCCATGTATATATGACGGCTGCTGGGTATAAGCCTTGAAGAGAAATGATTTGAGTGCACTTGCAACTCTCAGCATGACGTCATGACGAACGAAATGAATCTGTAGCCCTTGGCGACCTGAGTGGAATACCATCAGCAGCAGATCTGAGAGGAATTCCTTCAGCTGCATAGCCATCCTCATCCGCATGTTTAGGAAGCCGAATCGGTAGATTTGGTGGGAGACCTGTGATGCAAACCGATAAGACATTATGAACATGAGTAGTTTTACAGGCCAAGAGGAATGTAAATGTAGACATACCATCCACCATATCCTTTGTCTTGTGAAGAAGAAAAGTCCCAGAAAGGATTGTAACAAAGCCACACATCTCCGTTACAATTTGCGTTGGATTTTGACGATCCCAGTCCTGCATGCAATCAGAGTACATAATTACATATTAAAACAGTACCAAAGCATTGTGAAGGGGGGTTCGCTGGTGCACTATGACAGTTCATCTTATGTAGCAATGTTTCCTACTTCCTCCGTCCCAAATTATAAGACATTTTGGCATTTCTAGATTCATATCTTTTATTATGTATCTAGACATAACATATATCTATTTGCGTAGCAAAATATATGAGTCTAGAAAAGCCAAAACGTCTTATAATTTGGAACGGAGGGAGTAATATGCTTTCTCGAGAATGTGTTCGACACTGATACTATCATGGCTGATACATCTGACAGGTCTCCAGTCTTAAACTCTTCGCTGTTTACTAATACCGTATACCGACTTAACAGATTTCAGATTTTCCTTTTTCGTGATGGAAGAAAGTTTAATGGGGGAAAAACTGAGATTTTAAATGTTCCGTGTCACAAATCACAACAATTTTGCAAATTAAGTATTTACTTAAGTTTAATCTAGTTTGTTGAATTGTACCATCAATGCGCAATGATGAAAATGCCTGACATTAAAACCAGCAGCTGACTCATTCAAAGTAAAGATTAATATACATTGTACTGATTGAAATCTTCAGACTATGCAGGATTAGTAAATGAATTTAGTATGAATAAGTCAGAGTTTGGTGCAGAATTGTGTAAACAAACACATTTAAGGTTAGAATCGGTCACCTTGAACATTATTACACTAGCCAAGATGGTCAGGGATGTAAACATGGTGTAATATATGGGTGAAACAACTGCAGTGTTGAATGTGTCAAGGGCCTGCAAAATTTAATTTTGGTAAGTCAACAAAATCGTAGGACAGAAGAAAAATGCATAAGGTATCCAAATAGCGAATATTTTTTTATATGATCTAACCACTAAGAAAAACCTTTTCTCTTGACACAACTACAGGTTACTGTACATGGGCATAGCGTTGATCATACCTTGTTCAGATAGTTCATCTGCGTTACAATGCATGAGATTACAACAAATGAGAACACCCATGTTTGTGGATAAACTAGCTGGTTCATCCCTGAAAATGTAAGCTTCAAGGCTATCCCAAGAGCTTTGACACTCATGACCTGCCAAACCAAGACGAATACATAAGGAGAGCATTTATATCCTAGCATCTCGAGAATAGCTATGTGAATTCACATGAAAATAACTGTTAGTCATGAGAAACTTACCGATAAAGATCCGACAAGAGAACATATGCCAATATATACCATGATATGTGTCTGACCATACTGAGGGACAAAATGGAATATGAGCACAAAAGATGCTGCAAGCACAACAGCTGCATAGAATAGGAATGCTGCAGGACACAATTTGAACCTTAGTACCGGATAAATTAGTATGTTGATGATAGTCAAGGAGAAATGTCTAACAAACTAGTATGTTTTGACTCACGAGGTACCAAATTCAGGAGAAAGCGCAGTACCTGGTTCAGTAGCAAGATCCCACACTTCTGCCACGGACTCAATTTGACGCTCCGGAGGGGCATGAAGCACAATTGTTGTTGAACCCACCACACAAAGAATACAGCCAAGTATACCAAATATATGAAGTTTCTCCCGCAACATAATATGGGCAAGAATAGCACTGAATGAGACATGCCAAAATTATAAGATTTGTAGAAACCTGAGCGGTAAAAGATGTTGATGTACCAATTGGAGATCACATTAGTCTAATCCTCACCTGATAATTATGCTAAGTGCACCAAGTGGAGTGACCAAGATAGCAGGAGCAAATGCATAAGCTGCAAAGTTAGCGATTTCGCCAACAATCACTGAAATGGAGTACGGATATCATTAGTACGAAATAATGGAACAAGGTTAATATGCTAGAACCCTATTCATATCAGAAGGAAGAGACACACTTGTTATCATTCCTGCCCACCACAGTGGCTCAAGCAAGTATGAGTAGCCACCAACACCTGATGGAAATCAGAAAGGAAAGCATAAGTAATGAGGAAATACACAATGTTGCAACCCATCTAGCAAGGTAGAAGCAAAATAGGCTATGCAAGAGTTACATAATTCACTAGCTATTGACAGAGGCTGATTGTACATGGTTGACTGAGCATCAATGGAAGTATTCAAGTTTTGAGTGGCACAAGTCGACAAAACAGATATTCACATATCTTTTGCAACTGATACGTTTCAATAAATGAATATGCCTTCCTTTGAACATTCCCATTCGCGCCATTTCCATATGCGCATGATATTTTCAAATACGTCAAAGCATCATGGAAGCAATAGGAACTACAAGTAACTAATTCAGCAGCATTAGCCAAAATGCATCGCCCAACCACCAACGTGTCAGCAATCAACTATGCTGCTACTGCTAGTGATCTTCTGGGATCAATGCCGAGTAAGCAACTACTGATTGAAGTACATTTCAAATTTCAACAGGGCAGCTCCCAACATCACACGACCTAAAACTATCACCACCGTGCCACTGCCACCTCACTGCTTAAGCCCCAAGTCCTAACTGCGCTCGACCCACCGACACCGACACTGAGATCCAAGGATCTCAGATCTAAGCGGCAAGCCCAGTACGCCAGCAGCGCAACAGCAGCGAACCGAAGCATAGTCGAATCCTGCTACAAAAGCATAGTCCCAAGCAGAGGCAGAGGCAGAGGCAGAGCTGCCCAAAGGGAGGGCTCTCACCTGCTCGGACGCCGGACGCGCCGGCCTTCTTGAGCCCCTTCTTCTTGACGATGAAGCTGGCACCGATGAAGAGGCTGGAGGAGAGCGCGAGCAGCAGGCCCTTGATGTTGTCCGTCGACATCCCCGTGTACGACTCCACCCATCTCCCCACCAGCTGCGCTCCCCCCATCACGCCGCGCGCCGGCCAGCACTCAGGGTTCAGGGCCCCTCGCTAACTAAGTCCTCGCCCTCCCCCGTCGGGCGCGGCGGCGGCCACCGCGCATGCGAGATCCGGAGGCGAAGAGAGAGAGAGAGAGAGGGAGTGGCTCGGTTACGCGGTCCCCCGCGTGGTGGCTCGCTCTCCTCTGCTGGTGGCTCGGCTTTTCGTCCCCCGCGTGGGCTGCGGTTGCTGCGCCGTGCTGAGTTGTGGCGGAGAAGCTAGGCTAGGTACCGTATGGAGCGGGAGAGCGGCGCGGCGGTTGTGCGGGAAAGGGTCGACGGGCGACGACGACGGCGTCGTCGACAGGAGCGAGGGGCCGGGTGCCCGTGTCCCCGAGACCCCGAGGCGTGGGTGTTCGTGTTTCCTGGCCTTGGACACGCCGCGCGGCGCTTGGGCCCGTGCGTGCCCTGTGTGGTGGGGTAGGGAGGTGTGGGCGTGGTTGGTCGCGTGCGCCGTGGCCGGCTACCGGGGTGGTTTGCCTGCCTTGCCCTTTTTTTTTTTGAAATTGCTGCCTTGCCTTTGGAAGCCGGGACCCGGGTGGGTTTGAAAGGCCTTTTTTTGGCACTTTTGTCCGCGTCCGCGTCTCCGCGAGACCGCGACGTCACACGTCAGGCGGCCGATGGGAGGACCCGTGCAGCAACGCGGGCTGTCAAAACCATATGCCTAAGCTTTTTTTTTTCGAGAATACGCGCAAGTATGTGTATTATTGTATTAAGAAGATAGAATATTTATGTTACAAGAAGTGCCAATGGCGACTGAAACGAAAAAAATAAAAGGCTACATTTTGAAAGTTAACAAACGAAAGGACGGGCAGCTGAGCCATGGATATGCGGTTGCCAGCTCCGCCAGGGCGTGAGCTCCTGCCTTAGTCCAACGATCAGCCTCCGCCTTGATCACTTGAAGGAGCTCGTTCACGGTTGATGCCGCCTGTCGAAACCATCTGGCATTTCGTGCCTTCCAAACCTGCCAAGAGACTAAGGCGTACAGAGTGTCCATACCGGATCGCTGGCCACCAGTGCACAGTGAACGTAGCCTTCTCCACCATCGGATTGTTGTTTGTGCGGTGGAAGGGAGTTGTTTTCCAAGAGCCTGAAGGATGTGGAACCAGAGCTCCCTGGTGAACGGGCAATTGGCAAGCGAGTGATCTGATTGTCTCTCTGCCTTGATCACAGAGGAAACATTCCTCTCTTGCTTCAAGTCCATGCCGCATCCTTCTATCATTTGTCCAGTGTCTTCGTTTGAATGCAAGCCAAAGGAAGATCTTGACTCGTAGAGGAGCCCAAGTTTTCCAAATCAGCTTGTGTCCGAGGAACGGCGTCGAAGCTATGTGTAACATGTTGTAGGCTGATTTTGCGGTGTAGACCCCGTCGTTCATCCACCTCCAGATCGTCCGGTCTGGTTGTTCTATCAGCTGAACGTTGCTCACCGCGTCCCACAGGTGTAAGTATTCGATCAGCGCCTGCACTGACAGTCCGCGTGGGATCCCCGGACCCAATTCCTATTAGTCAGACCTTCCCGCACTGATTGCCTCTGTCGAATTCTGCTGGGGACCAGATGGTACAAGAATGGTGCAATCTCCTTGGCTGTCTCGCCATTGATCCATCTATCCTCCCAGAAGAGTGCCTGTTTACCGTCCCCGATCGTTGTGAATGTCGAAGCTCTGAAGAAAGCCTGAACTTCTGGGGCCGTTTTTATCGGCAATTGGCTCCAAGCTCTGTCTTGGTCTATTTTTTGCAGCCACAGACATCTTGTTTGTAATGCGAATCCTTGCAGCTTGAGATCGCTGATCCCCAATCCGCCTAGCTGCGTCGGCTTGCACACTGTGGGCCAAGGAACCATGCACTTGCCCTGTACTGAAGCCTCTGATCCCACCTAGAAGAATTTTCGGCAGATGGAGTCGATTTCCTTTCTTGCCCAGCCTGTCAGGTTCTCAGCCATCATAGCATAGATCGGTACTGATCGCAGAACTGATTTAATCCATACAAGCCTTCCACTGCGTGCCATAAGAGAGCCGTGGCATGGTGGCAGTTTCGTAGCGACCGCTTCAACCATAGATTGGTAGTGCTGCTTGGGTATAGCTCTGGTACTGAGTGGTAGACCGAGGTACTTGATGGGGAATTCCTGCACTTGGCATCCAAGAATAGCCACGATCTCGTCAATAGCTTCCTCCCCGCCAAAGATAGGAGTCACTGAGCATTTGGCCAGGTTCGTTTTGAGCCCAGACACCTGCCCGAAAACCTCCAGTATCTCCTTTACGGCCATCGCTTCTTGCACAGTTGGCCTGATGAATAGAATGACATCATCGGCATAGAGGCTGCACTGGTACCTTATTTCCGATGGCTCCATCTTGCATAGGACACCGTCACGGGATGCTTTGAGAAAGAGGCGATGTAGGACGTCCATTGAAATGATGAACAATAGAGGAGACAGAGAATCCCCTTGCCGCACGCCTCTGAGATGCCTGATCGATGTCCCCTGCTGGCCATTCAGGATGATCCTGGAAGATGCCGTGTCCATCAGTGTTGAGATCCATTGCCGCCACTTAGGCCCAAAGCCCCATGCCTGTAACAATTCCAACAGGAATGGCCAAGACAGTGTGTCGAAAGCTTTGGAAATATACAGCTTTAGCAGTAGCATAGGAGTTTTCCTCTTCCTGATCAAAACCGTAGCCCTCTAGATGTACTTATAACTGTCATGTATGGATCGATCTCTTATGAAGGCTTTCTGGTTTCTTGCTACCAGCTCATTCATTTTTGGCGCCAATCTTAATGCCAGTATCTTGGATATGAGTTTTGCAAAGCTGTGCACCATGGTGATTGGGCGAAGTCAGCCGGGCAATTAGCGCCCACCTTCTTGGCCAGCAGCACAATCAGTGCCTTGTTTAGTTTGGCCATGGCTCGGCTGGTATTGTTTGCAAATGCATTGATCGCCGCCATAAGCTCCATGTGGACAGCCATCAATTGAGACTTCAGACTTTTATTACTGGCCTTGCTCACAAACCGTGGAAGTGCGTGATGAGGCTGCTGTTACTTTGCACACAATGCGAATTCAGTTGGTGCCTCGCACTTTTGTCGGGAGAAGCAACTGCTGCTTCTGCAAGCTAATACAAACACCTGCGAAACCAACGTATGTGACGTGGAGTCCCTGTGCCGACGTGGAGGCTGGGGCTAACAGCCACCTGTAGCGTTGGGGCTGCTCTGAGCGATTTCTCAGAAGTGAAGTGTTATGATCCAAGTGCACGGTGTCGTGAGGACCCCGCACTTTCCTTTGTAATTAAGGAATAGCTTTTTTTTAGGCATAAAGCGTATCATGATATGATAACTGCTCTCTCCATCATCAAATATAGTGCATTTTGACCATTTTAAAACAAAACTAGGGAGAGTGCAATAGACACCTATATCCCTCACTTACTTTCCTAATGTATTGAAATCTGATTCTTTGCATGATTAAAGGTGAACGCTTAGTCTCCTTATATAAAATATGACAAGTATATGAATTACTTTCCTTATATAAAATAATCACATATTTTATTTAAATAAACATTATTTTCTTGTTCACTGGATGCACTATATTTAAGGATAAATTTAAAATGACAGAATGCATTATATTTGAGGACGGAGGAAGTACAATATTTGCTATTTTTGAAATTAGATTGAAAATAGATTTATTTTAGCTGCCATGTCGCAGCATTGGAAGCTGGAACTCTTGCCGGATGGCTTGAGTTTATTTTTAATTCTTCTAGCTCCTTTTTTCCCCTTACTTCAATTCGCTGACCATGATGAGAAGCTCGTCCTCACTTGGGTGTCGTTTTTTATTTCGAAACACGGTGTCCGAGTTGCTAATCACATTCACCATATCATCCGCAACTATGTTGATGGCGTGTGGTGTCCTAATCAATCTCACCTATCTTCTTCAATCTTTTCCTATTCTAATGTTTTTTTTCTGTTGATCTAACTTTTCCAGGGCTTCAACTTTTGTTAGTTTTTTATTTTAAAATGTGAAATTCCTGTGTTCTAAATATATTTTTAATGATTTTGGACACTTCTGGAGATCATCACTCTAAAGTCAGGCGACCAACATGAAAAACCTCTAAATGCTAATCTCTGCTACTAAGGGCACGTACAACATGTTGGTGTGAGTCGTCTATGTCTTACGACTTTTGCAACTAAAAAAAACTCACGCTCAACATCTAGGGCGAGGTCGTTGTCTCGTGAGGCGACGACGACGGCTCATGCTCCTAGGTGTACTCGTCGTCCAACGTCACGTTGTACAGGATTATCATCTGCAAGGACGAGGCACGGGCTCTAGCGTACAGGAGAATCCAAGATGTGTGCTAAAATCTCAAACGCCCCCTCCCTCGTGCGTGAGCACACCCCAAACATCAAGAGCGGCGACGGCAGTTTACCTGGATAGGGAGGCGAGCGGTGCAGCCCCCACATATACCGCACTGTCATTAATAAGTAGGAGTAGCAAGGTGAGCTGGGACGAGGAGGCGAACGGTGCGTAGTGACCTATCGCCGAGCTCCAAGAAACCGTCTGACTTCATCATAGAGCTAGATTATGCGGGATTCAAGATGCATTCCTCCTCTCCTGCAATTAGCAAGTGAAAGTGCAATCAAGCCCTAATTGTGGGTTTTGGTGATAATGACCACTCAATTAGAGAACTAATGATATTTATCAAGATGACAAGCAGGGAAAACATACTCGAGGATGTTACATCAAATGGAGGTGCCCCCAATTATAAATGTTGACGACTTCAAACTCAAATGAGGTTTAAATTCTTTTATATTTCGAATTTGAGTGTAGAAAAAGCCATACTATAAAGGGGGACACAATGCTTAAGCTAACATGTGCTACCAAGTGCTAAAAAATTCCACATACACCCTCACTTTCTCAGCCAAGACTACCAGCACTCCATTCTAACCCTTGTTGTCTTGCCTGGTGCGACAGTGCCACACCCAAAGAGAGGCATTGTCGCTGAGCGGCACTACTGCGCTTGAGCCATGGCACTGCCGCGACTTAAGTGACCGTTAGGAGGCAGGGGGTATTTATACCTTTCTCCTTCCTCCCCAATGTCTCTCTTCGCCCACTAAACCATTCTGTTCACCCAAGAACAGAAAAGTGCTCATCTCTCTCTCCTTCATTGGTGACCTTGAGCTCCCAAGCTTCTCATTTGATTTCCCCATCAATCCTTGAGAGAAAAAGGTGCCAAACTCGATTGGAAAGCGGATCCACTGATTCATAAAGCCTAAAGAGCACTTGGTTCATGTTTTGCCCGGCGGTTGTGTTTGTTACTCTTGGAGCTTGGCTCCTAGCCGACTAGAGCATCACCCGTGGAGCTTGCCAACTTGTGTGGCAGTTCCGGGAGGTTTGTAACCAACTCTTTGCAGCTAGTAAACTCACCCCTTATCTCAAGAGTTAACTCTCCTGACTTGAGAACAAGGAAGGGTTGCAAAGCCCTAGCCTTAGTGGCAACCTCAACAACAAGGACTTAGGCAAGCCTTGGTGGCGAGCTGAACCACGGGATAAATCTTTGTGTCATCTTGTGCTTGGTTTACATCACTTGCATTTCAAATTGTTGTTGAAGTTGATTTCTAGGGTTTGAGGCCGATCTACGTGTGTGTGGTGTTCCTACCACTTCTAGCTCTCGATCTGTGTCATATACACCTGCAGGAACCTCAGTAAACTCTTGGTCACAAATTTCCATTCATAGTTTTTGAATTATAGCTCGAAGTTGTCTGCAGGTGCGGCAGTGCCACTGTTCTAGCATGGCCGTGCTGTAGAGCGGTAGTGCCGCGGTCTCTGAGCGGTAGTGCCACGGGTGGAATTGGACAACTGCTTGAGTTTTGTTTTAACAGGTCTATTCACCTCCCCTCTAGGCTAACCAGAGATCCTACAAGTGGTATCAGAGCAGGTTACCTCGTGTGCGCTTCGCTGCGTGAGGTATGGAGCCCAAAGGAGGTACTAGTGGCGTGAAGTCGGTGGACGTTGATCTAGAGCGAGTTGAACTGCACGACACCAACAGCAGTGAGCTTATCATGTCCACAGCGAGCAACACCACGCTCCCACATCTTGAGGCCACCGATGCCGAAAGAGCTCTCAATGATGAAGAAAGAAGAAGGAAGGAAGTAAGAAAAGAAAAAAGAGAAGAAAGAGAGAAGAAGAAGGAGCAGCAAAGACTTGAAGACAAGAAGCAAAGAAAGGAAGAAAGAAAGCTCAAGAGAGAAGCAAGAAGAAAAAGAAAAGAAGCTAGGAAGATGAAGTAAATACAACCAATGCATCATCAAGTAGTTTCGAAGATAGAGATGATGATAAGTCCTACCAAGTGTCCAAGGGGGGCAAGAAGGAGAAGGTAAAGGGCAAAGTCGACATCAACAAATATGCTGTCGTATCCGTTAACTATTCTTCTATGCCTTTGACTAACCATGATCAAAGGTCTTTCATCAATGTACCCGTGGGCAAGTTACCTTATTTCGATGGGACTAACTTTGCCAAGTGGAAGCACTTGATGATAGCCTATCTTATTGGTCTTCACCCCGACATTTAGGAGATTGTGTGCAATGGATTTGAGCCACTGGTTGATCCTCTTAGCACACCATCCAGGTCAGACGCGCAATATACAAATTTACTAGTCGACTGTTCGAAACACCGACAGTTGGCACGCCAGGTAGGGGCTCTTTGCGCGTCACGTCGACACCACTAGGCCACGGATGGCTAACCACGGTACGAGCTGGGTCCTGGGCGCGCACATGTGTTTTGAGAGCCTAGACTTCATCGTCTCCACGGAGGGAAAACTGGCGTGGGCTAATGGCCCCGCCACACCGCCTCAGGCTGTCAGTCTCGATGCGGTCATCGAGACCCTCGGGGAGCTACGGCTGCACACCTCGGGAACCCGTGCTCCCGGGAGTGACCTACGTCTATCTGTCATGAACAGCGAGTTCGTGGGCCTGACAGATTATGTTTTGGAGTCCTTCTATGACTTGATCGCGGAAGGCTCTGAAACCGTCTCCGATTCTGACTCCGGCGGGGGGGGGGAGCCACCACCCCTCGAGCGAGTGCTTCATGGCGGGAATCCGTGATGTGCACGACGAAGGTGTCCATGGTGGGGAAGCCACACCCTCGAATGGCTAGGACGACGAGGCCGAGGGGGACGCAAGGGCCCTGCGCATGGAGCAGTTGTGGGCGCGGTAGAAGGAGCTCGAGGACGTGCGGCTCTAGCTGGAGTAGGAGCAAGTAGAGCTCAAGCGCGAGATCACTCATCGCGCGGATGGTGGGCATGCACGTGCCATGGCCTGCGACGTACATAGGAGGATCATCAAGGACGATGATGGCCTCCCACACTTCGC